GAGGGGGGGGCGGTGGGAATGATTTCCACCTGAAAATTATCGCGCATCAATATATTTACCTACATGCGACCTACGAACATCAGTCATACCTTTCCTTGACAAGTAGGACCAGACCAGGAACCAAATTTCGCATAAAAAGAAGCAATATTTGTGCATAAAAGGGGTTTTGATTTGATTTGTTTAAACAACGTTTACTCTGCGGCTGAAACTCTGGACAGAAAGGAAGGATGGGGAAAAGAAATGGGAGATAGGAAAAAACGATACGCTGGGATCACGACGAACTAATATAAAATGATCACAAGTAAACCAAGCTTATCACTATCGCCAGAAATGAAGATTTTACATGCATGAGAGGTTGAAAAGTGACGCTCAATATTTTCGTGTTAAGTATGATCCTCTCATTAAAGAAAATTGTTTATCTAATATGCGCGATATGACTTAGGGTTCTGTATTGGGCAGACTGTGGCCTTGCCCAAGTAATGAACTGATCAGCGTTACCTTCATGTAGCTTTAATTTAGGTTTTGTCCATTCAAACAAACTTTTCAAAAGACATCTGTAGATGTAGTTTACAAACATCCTCAGCATATTTAGGAAGCATCCAAAGTTCTTACTGTGCTGATAACTAATAACCTTTGCGTAAAAAGGATAAAATATTTCCACGAAATCAAACTTCTTAGGTACTCGGTGGCTGCTTTATCTCTTTCATTTTCTTCATGTTCAATTTTCGTTTTTCTTGCCTAGATTTTTATCAGCTTGAGGTTTCTTACTCTAGAATAGTGTAAAATGAATAATATCTAAGTCAATGAGACAGTTAAATGGTTAAAATGCTCGTTCAAAATCATCTCTGTCTCTGTCGCTTGAGTTAATTGCATTGAAAGGGGTGGCAACTTTATGTTTCTTTTTGTTGGATTCCTTTCTGACCTGAGAAAAATAATCACAGGAGCACATAGAATACTTAAAAGAAAGGGCCGCGAGAGAAAAAGATAAGATCAAGCCGGCACGCTCAATAACTAGAATCTTTGGCTCTCACCAAGGTCTTACCAAACTAGCAGACAAGATACAGTATGTAATCGTGGCTCGCTACTATTTAATACAGCGACAACTTCAAACTTAAAGGGATTGATGAGCAAAATGACACATTAGATTCACCCCAGATAACAATAAGTATATAAGTGCCTAAATAATGAATAAAATCTTCTTTTAGAAGGAAGTTTTGTGCAAAGCTTACAGAAAAAAACGGCGTACGATTTGGTTTGTTTCGACACGCGCGGAAGTAAATGTGGCGGTCATTCGCACTTGTCTCGACCTTTATTCAGTTTAGTTACAAACAAATAGTTTCACAAGACAATACACTGTCAAACTCACAGACAATATAAACAAGATAGCTTGCACAATCNTTTTTGGACTTTCACTAGGAGCAAATTGACTCATTTGGAAATTATCGATACAATGTCTGTTCATCATGATTTTCTGTTTGTATCTCTCATTTCCACGTTTTTTCACGTTGCGTGATGTTCTTGGATTTCCGTGACTCACACCGGTCAGACTTCAACGGTTTGTAGGAATTACACGAGGTTGATTTTGGGTGGGAAAATTAGCTTCTCAAGGAATGGAATGGAGAGATTTCTGACCCAATTTTCTCACTAGTCAAAGGGCATCTTTAGCGCATTTTAACAGTTTGAAGTTTATGGACACGGAATCAAGGCCTGCTTTTGTTATGGCTCAGTAAGAAAACTTACTAAGATTATCTCAGTTAGTACTTATCTTTATAAACATTTCCTTCATCTGTACCAGTTGTATATCGTTTGTAAGACTCGTTACTGTAAAGTGGTGAGGGATGAGAGGGTGGGGAGTGGGAAAAAGAGTCTCTGAATTGAAAGAAAGTTTAGGCAAAAAATTTTGGAACCTTTCCTGGTACTTTTTTTTCTTATTTGCATCGCCAGTTTTAAGATTTGGCATGGAAAAAGCACCAACAAGATGCAACAATGTTAGAACTGTCATCATCAGTTGCGGTGTTGAATATCATATTGGCAAGGGCTTTTTTCAGGTCCTACATATCCCTTCCCCTAGTGATCCTTTCAATCTGTGACACCCCTTCAGAAAAAAAACTCGCAAATCTTGATGCTTAGCTACTTTCACACTTGAACATAGTCGGGAAATGTGGTACTTGAATGACGAGGCCGCGACAGGTTATGGGAATTGACTGAATGGAATCATTAAGATGAGGCATAATGATCGATGGCAAAAGAACAAAAAGCCTTTAATTAACACCCACAAGTAAACAGGCAACAAATTATCGTAGTTAATTACTGATCATTAGTTCCTTTTACTGATGTAATTCTTGATTAAACTGTCTAAGGAGGTTATAGTATTTAGTTCGTAAATTCTATGTTTTGAAACACCAACAGGTGACAAGTAAACCTATGGACCTAGAATCAAAATCTCTCTTCACGAGTCTAACAGTGTATTAATTAATACATTTTTTATCCTAAACATCAGAAATGAAATGCTGTCCTTCAAAAGCAATTGCATGCTCAACACTAGCCTTTTAATTGCCCTAAAAAATTAGAAAAAAATCGGTAAATTTTGCTCAAGAGCGTCAAGTCCGTGTCTAGTCGCCACTCAATGGTTCAAGAGATCATGCCTCGTTTCTTGAGCTCCTTCTCGATCATTCTGCTCATTCCAGCAGGAAAGTACTGACGAACTTCACTCCAGCTCATAGCTAACAACTTTACACTTGTTATGTCATCTTTGGCCAACTTGCTCGAAGCCGTCATGATGCTATTTGTCGACCACTGATATTCTTTTTGGAGGAAACGCAAGAACACTTCCACTGAAGCTATCGGGAAAAATAATTGTAATATGGATAAGAGAATTTTGTTCAACTTTATGCACGCTCATTTATTTGGGAGGATTGCAAGGACATGGCAATAAAGTGCGAGTCAGAGGCCAGATACAAGCAACCACCGCGTGACACAAAAGAAA